GCACGGCATTAGTACTTTATAACGCGAAGTGCTTTTTGATTTAGTATTATTTTGTTTAAATAATTTGTAAGAAACGACCTTCTTCTTCTGAAGACAAAGACAAAAGTGTGTAACTTGTTTAAATCATATCAATTATAATTTAAAGAAAATGAAGGTAATTACATAACATCAAAATGAAAAGTAACTAGAACGGAACGCCTCTGTCCATGCTCTTTTAAAAGTATTCTAAATATGTACAATAATATCAATGATACGCACATAGACAATAAGAACATATAGTTTGTATAATAAATGATTAATTTCAAAAGGAAAAGATTTTTTTGCCAAATCTGAAAGTAATGATAAATGCAAGAAGGGAAAAAGAAAATACACGTTGTTTCATTTTAGTGTGAATTTATTTTCGATATATACCGATCTCAGGAGGTGGGTAAGTGGGTCTGTTATCTTATTTTTCTGCGGCAGAGCACATAACGGAGGCAGCGTCTAAAACATCAAATCCGTTTATTTGTTCGACTCGTTATCGCTACTTTTATTATGTCCTACGTTCTCCTTTTATGCCTCGTTTGATCGTACATCGAGTGACTGGAGCACGAGGCACGCTTTTTATTTATAAATTACAATGTCTTGTAAGTTTTCTAGTTTGAAACTTACAAAACTGAATTCGAAATTTTCTTTACAAGGGGGTGGGGTCACTTATCTCTTGTATCCGTCACTTTTTAAGTAAAAGCATAACTTTTTCGTTACTGATAGTTGCAATTTAAATTCTATCTTTTAGTCAAACACTAATATACCGAAGAACGTTATTTACTCTTTTTACTACTATTGAAGTATTGTCTATAAGCACATTAGAACACACTTGCCTCCCGTTCATCGATGCTCCAGTCAATTTAAGTTACATATTATCCTCTACGCGAATGGTCATTTGCGCATTGGATTGCCGTCCAATAAACTCCTAAAAATCATCACGTATTAAGAGCGCCTAGACGCGCTCTCGTCGACAATAGTTATATTGTTATTAATGCTCAGTACGGTACATGGTGTGTATATGTACAACATCGAGCAATCGGCTAAGCATGCAGAGTTAAATGATCGCTATAACGCTACGACCAGTATGTGTGACTATGTACCAATCAATAAGATTAGATTAAACATCCAATCTCGTTGATTTATTATAGAATAGCTCCAATGAATTATAGACTCTATCGTTACGCGGTGTATATAATCTATTGGAGCCGGATTTCCCCCCTCCACATTCTTCTAAATTGCCGACTTTTACTGCAAACACCCGGTCTAAAAATGTGTAAAACCCTCCAATATACTTTTCAATATGTACATTACCTCATAGACACGTGTTGCACACGGCACGACTTACGTAATATAATTTGGTGTTCATTTGAGACTGTTTCCTGCCCATTTTGTTTTTATTAGCCCTTAACAAATGCTCAGAAGATTCCTTCTCTGAACATCGTCTATTTTCTTTAAATTTCATTATTACAAAAAAAATTATCGTAGATCCCGCAATCTCTAAATTTGGCTATCACTTTTATATGTGTTCTCTTGGGTGCTATTACTGTTATAAGTATATTCAGGGGACACTGGATCAGTCGAAAAAAAGCGACAGACTTTTCAATGATTCGGGTTCAACTCAATCTGAAAACGGCGCTCATCGTATGCGCCTTCGATTAGCTTCGATTAGCTACGTATAATTCATAAATTACATCGAAATCATTATACTTCTGCAGTATGTAAGTAGTTCCACCGATTAAAATATTAATCTCTTAAATGGATTCGAGTTTAGGTCCCTACAATAAAACGCGCGCTCTCTCTCTCTCTCTCTCTCTCTCTTTCGAAATTGATTTGATCTCCATTTGATGTCCTTATTCTACACACCATCAGAAATATCGTCGTTCATCGAACAGAGAAAACGCACGTCGAGTCTTTGAATTTTACTGCATATGAATACAATTATTTACTCGTACACCAGAGGTGATAGAGGGTAGGTGGAGATAAGCAAAAGTAAGGAGTCTCTCGTACATTAAGCTATACATATTTTTACTGTTAATTTCATCCTAACTATCCTAGCGCCAAGCAGCGGATCACACCTACATAAATTGTCGTTCGATTTAATTTATATGTATATATATATGTATATATGTATGTACATACACAGGATGTCTGACAATATGTAATACAAATTTTAAAAGATAATTTTCTATCATAACAAATGAAAAAGTTTTAAATTTTTTCCCGTCTGCTACACCCCGTACACAAACACACACACACACATATACACATATATATTATATATAAAAGTATATACAGGGTGTTACCAAGTATCCTGTGATATTATCTTTTTTAACTCCTCTCATATTAAAAAAATTTCAATTTAAATGTTGATCTGTGGGTCTACTCATTATTTGGCGTTTCTGCTTATTGTAAGTGGAACGGTAAAATCAATTCATGCGAGCGTAAAGGTAAAAATGAAAAAATGTCCTATTAATCCTTAAATTATTTTTCCATATTGCTTCGTATGCTTCAGAGTTTACCAGTTTAAAGACACACTGTATATACATATATACATACACATATATGTATTTATAAGTCGTCGGTATGTATAATCGTTAATATCCGGTTACGGCTACGCGATGAAATTGCGCTTCCTTGAAATCCGTTAATATACCAGTGAACGAGATTGATCGATTGTTTGTGTCGTACAACCATAATCGTTGTTGCAATAATCGGTAATCGCTATGCGCCATTATTAACACGATGTCCCTTCGTTCGTTGATAACAAGTAACATTCTATTATACATTCACCTCAAGAGTGTAAATTATTGTTGACGTACAATCGTGCAATGATGGTCAATGGATTTAGCGATAAGGACGGTCAGGCGAAAGCTCGAGACGTGTTCGAAAGCGTTCTTGTTTCCTTTCCTTTCAGTTTCAGCGATCATTCTGTGCTCTTCTGTTGTCATCTGCTCCTCTACGGATTTCACTGGCTGCGTTTCATAAAATGATACCGGCATATATATAATATGTATATCTACTATATATATATATATAACTTCCGTTATGTCCTGTACAAGTTCAACACGACTGCCATTATCAGTCCCAAAATTGCAATTACGGTGGGGTCGCATCGTTATAAGGAAAAATTAGAAGAGTATACAATTCGAAACAAAAAGTGAGAAAAAGAGAGAGGGGAAGTGGGAGAGAAAAAGGAAGAATTATTTTAAGTTTCTAGAGTACCGGTTCTTGCGTATTTCTCTGATTACAATTTTATGCATCATAGCACACGGGTAGAAGAGGCACTTTCCGCTTAGAATAGTGCTGTCCATCGCAAGTTCTGAAAAATGTCCTTCTATTCAATACTACTACATGTGTAAAAGAAAATGCAACTAAGTTAAGGGGATCCATTCGTAGACAGCACTATTTGTGAAGATATATACAAGAACAGAGTGAAATTTTAATGTTATCTTACTCGCTACTCTGTTTCAACAATTGTGTTAAATATACATTGATTTGGAACCTTTTCAACAGAAATTACTTTGAATCTATCATTTCTGAAATTACTATCCTCTTTTACCCGGAAGAAATTTGTTGTCGATTTAATGCAACTGCTATTAGTAAGTATACTTTGTATATGCATCTCCACCTTAATTTCATATGAACTGTTTTATAAATCAGCTTTTCTCCATTTTCTTTCAGCAGAAACAATCTTAAACTGACCGGCGAAGCAAAACAGAACGTTCGTTTGGAAGCATAAAATTAGGATTCAATGATACAAACATGTTTGCAACGTCGAATGTCCAGTGAGCGTACTGTTTCGCTTTCGTTATAAAATAGAAGACAAGTTATCGGCAGAGAGCTCAATAATCAGTCAACAGTTTGAAGAAAAGGTCGCGCAGAACTTAACATCACATATTCTTGTATTCTCGTATGACGATATTATTTCATATTCACCCAAGTATCATTCATGATCTAGAAACTCGCCTCATTTCCTCCTAATTTTACATTATTTATATGTTATGCCTTATCAATAGAATGAAACTTCTTATAATAACTTGAACGAAAATGTGTGCCACACAATCAGTATTCCGATCACTCTTCGAAATTAGACAGTGTGTTTGTGTGTGTGTGTAAAGTGTTACCGCAGACATAGGATTATATAATAATTTTATTACAAATATTCTGTTTCATTTGAAATGTAAGTTTCTTGTTTACAATGTTTGAAATTTCATGACGTATAATGGTATTTCATTAGACTAAATTATGATGACTTGGATTGGTACAAATGGAGTATGCACTGTCTTATTCCGAATCATAATTAATATTTTATATCAACCGTTTTACCAAGAATCTGGCGACCAACTCTTTAAACATTACATATGTCTGCATACATTAAATTTGTACAAAGGTTCAGTTCCTTAGACACACGTTATGACGTATGTGCAATGAGTATTTTTGTCTTTTAATTAGTATTAACATATTAATAGTAGTATTAAATCTTCTTGAACAATAATTAAGCACAAGGAGAGATCACAATGAAAAAATCTGCCATCAACGGATCCCAATTAATCGATGTAGTACGTGAACTAATGTGTTACTAAAATTTAATGTCGGTATAGCAGTAGCATTGCGTCTGCTCTTGCTTAAAGTACATTATGAGTAGGTCCCATGACTCTTGGGATACTTGATAAATTAAGTGACAAGTACGAAGGATAATCCAACGATGACCGTGTAAAATAATAAAATATTACGAAATTTTAATTTAAGATATCATTACTAAATGAAAAACATGATTTAACAAATTTATAAATATACAAACAGGCAGCCACTGTCGAGAGTGTTACAACCAGAAGCGTACCTTAACTGCATATGTAATTTAGCGAAATATAACAAGCACTTTCTTTAACAACAATTAAAATTTTGTTGTCTCTCGTTACTTGAAATTATCCGTACTGTAATGTCAGACAAACAATTATTGCATCAAATCATCAGCAACTAAAAAAAAGGCAAACAAAAATATTTCTGAATGATAACAATTTTATAAGATACGTTCCTAATAATTTTGCGTACTATAACATATATATATGTATATATATTACAATTCATTCGTGTATATTAAATATTAAATAATTTTATCGTGTGCGTTTTCAATAACAATGCACTCGTTACATGGAAATAAAACACTGTATATAATTATGAAAGAACCTGACACCTACAGGTTATTGCTTCGTGTCACACTCTCGACTTATGATTATATCAGGATGGTAGAAGTTGATGAATTTAAAGGTAAAACGATAAAAAACTTGATCACTTTTTGATTTGCAGCCACGGATGCTTCAGACATTCTGCTGCTGTAGCTCGCGTATTCGGGTCAAATTTAAGCATTGGAGTTAAGAACTCTTCAAACTCCTGTGCTTCTCTCGGTGACCAATCATATTTTTCTGTGAGCACCTCGTACAATCCCCAAGGTTTCAATCCAGTAATATGCTTCAACTCGCCTTTCTTATTGAAGTACATTTTTGAATTTTTACCAGATAGAGCAATAGGTTTTGGTATTTCTCCAAGTAATTCGATAATATGAGCTAAGTGATCTTCGTCTCTATAATACATTATTAATAATAATACGTTATTAAAAAAAGAATTATAGCAGAAATGATTGAAGTAAGGAAAAAATATTGTTTCTTACCTGCAATAATCTTTGCCACTATGTGGTTCAAAAAGATAGTCACCAGTTGCTAATTCAAACGTCATACAGGCAGTAGACCATATATCCGCAGAAGTATCGTAGCCGGAACCTAATAACACTTCTAATGATCTGTATTGACGAGTTTGGATGTCGTCCGTAAATTTTTTGTAGACCCAACATGCATTTCCGAGATCTGCAATTTTTACTTCAACATCACATTCTACTATGGCAGGATCTAAGGGAGCTACGGATGCTCGTTTTAATTGTTTACTATCTGGTGGTTGTAAATTACGACCTGTAAGAAAATACAATTAAAATGCAATCGACAATTATGCTCTGAACATTTTACCTTCGCTACACTCATCCGTATCTTCATGATCTGGTGGTAACATCCCTTCTCCACAACTTTTTTCTATATCACATAAGTTCGCATTGTCCATTTTTTCAGGTTGTTGAGGTAACTGATTTTCTACTTTCTCTCCTCCACCTAAGCTGTCCACACCATTTATGTGCAATGAAGGCGCTGACGGTTCTGATATGTCAGGTGAACCTTTGCTTTCAGTATTATCTTCTATACTTTCTGTATTTATATCTTGATCTGGACTATTTGTTTCTAATTCTCCGTTTTCTCTTGTATTATTTGCCATTTTATTTTGCTCTTCAAGCTCCTCTATTTGTTCCATTTGCTTTTTCAATAATTCGTTCTGACGTTTTGCTTTTTTTTTAAGTTTTTTCTTTTTATTCTTCGACATTTTAGAGTTAGGGGTAGGTTCTTGGAATTCCTTTGGTGCAGTTGAAATTAATGATACTGGCAATCTCAGTCCTAAAGAATGTAATTCGGTAGCTTCGCAAGCTAGCTTTCGTATGTAAACTTCATCAACGCAAATAAGAACATTTTCAGGTTTAATATCAGTATGAATAATTTTACCTGAAAAAGAAACAGATATTTTGAAATATCAAATAATTTTATTATTTTAAGAAGAAATTTTCTAAAAATAATATAGGATACTTCAAATTCACGTTACACTAAAGTAAGATTCAATTTTTAATTGTTTCACACTTGCACGAAAGTTAAAAATGATAAGTATGGAACAAATTTTTTTCGTGTCTGTCTTACATTTATTATGGAGATAATCAAGTCCTTCAAGAACCTGTCTGATGATACGTTTAACATTATTTCTTGGAATTCCTCTATAGTTGGATTTAATAATCAGTTTTAGAAGATTATGTCCAAGCACTTCAAATACCATGCAAACATGCAGACCATTAATGCCACTGATCTTGAAATCATTGAGCAACTGGACGGTTTTATTGCGTTTAGGATCACTGGGATCTATATCACGCACATCTTTCAATAATTTAATTTCATCCAATGCAGTTTCAGTAAAATGCGATGCAGATTTCACCACTTTAAGTGCCACAAATCGTTTATCCTGCAGAACATATTTCAAGACATTCCCGTTGTGTATTTAATAACAATAAAAATACTTTATTCAAATGTAGCATACATACTTGCAAATCCCAGCAAAGCCAAACCGTTGAAAAATGACCCCAACCAAGCTTACGAGTTACATGATAACGGTTTAAGAATAAATCTCCTATTTTCACTGGATGATATCCTCCTTTACAGTAATCACTGCTATCCTCTTGCTCTTCCTCTTCGCTACTGTATAGCTCATCGTCATCTTCTATTGTTTCATTACTTGAGCTATGGCTTGGATCCAATCTATATAGTTCATTTAAAAAACAGAAAAGAAAGTAATACGAATCAGAAAATGCAAAATAAAGATGGTCAACGGATTTCCATGAAAGACAGCTTTTTACTGTGCAAAATTTT